CACATTAAATATTGGACGAAAGAGTGTTGAACAAAAATATAATCAATTTCTCAATAATTTTTGTTTGATACATTTTTACAACTTTCTTTCAAATCTCTGCATTTTAATGAATATTTTGTGTTTTTTTAACTCTTTCTTATTGGAATCACATATGGTTAGGGATGGCAATGAGGGCTGGGCGGGGTGGGGCGGGGCAGGGCAAAACAGAAACTGGGCGGGGTAGGGTAGGGCGGGGCAAAATATTTTTTCATTAAATCTAGACGGGGCAGGGCAGGTTGTGGGTTTTTGTTTTCTTTTAAACAAAAAACAATAGGCTAATCACACAAGCGCACAAATCTTTTTTACATTCTAATTGATTCTGGTGGATCTGTTTAACTGATTTATTTGGCTTTTTATCTTTCTAAATCTGGGTAAATTTTGATTTTAACTCTTAATTTTTTTTGATAAACTTGTTGAGCAATGAGCTTGGATACATCTGGTTATTAATTTTCAGTTCTAACTTTTGAGTTGCATTCTTCTTCCACGTAATTATTCTAGTTATTTTTCCAAATTTTGTTTCAGTTCTTTAAGGCATTGATGCAGTGATAATGATGACATTGACATGTTTCATTTAATTTAAATTAGTAAATATTATATTTCACTTAAGTAATGTGAGGTAAAATAGGGTAGCGCCGGCTAAATGGGAGTAGGGCTTAATCTGTGAGGTTAAATAGGATAGCGCCGGCTAAATGGGAGTAGGGCTTGATCTAAATAGGGCAGTGACTTAAACAGGGCAGAATAGGGTAGGGCAAAATTTTAATAGGGGAACTCTTTAACCCGCCCCAACCCACCCTAACCCCATTGTCATCCCTACATATGATATACATTCACAACATATTATGATGTGAGTGGATAAATAAGAATAACCTTTCACATATCACAGAATATAATTTGGCAATTGTCAATTTTTCTTGGTGTTACATATTTGGTTAAAACTTTTTACTTTCGGAATTTTTTAAACTTTTGATACGTTATTTTTTAATTGTACTACTTTTAAAATATAATGACTCTGTTTCATATAATAATAATTTTATTTATAATAGTAACAACTACTTCAAGTTAAGAGATTATGACCATTACTTTCACTACATTATCTTGGATAATGTTATAAACATTTAATATATTAATATGTAGATTTGGATAGTTTAGATCAAAGTCTTGAAATATTTCAGTCGGGAGATAAGTAATAAATAAATAAATTGAAAACGTCCTTAAACTCAACACAAATAATTAGTTTTATCCTTTGAAGTATCGACCTTAAAAAACACCCCCTTTAAGCCCTAAACAAGTATTGGATAATGTTGCAAAAATTTTATATATTAATGGGTAGACTTGGCCATTATTTTTTTCCCTTTCTTTTCCATATTTTTCTTTTAATCCTTTTCCTCTCTCATAAATTACACTTACAAAAAGTAAACTCGTTGTTGGTGTGGGCATTTTTATAATAAAAATGTTGCATATTTTAGCATTTTCACCAACAATCGTACATAAAGCAAACACAAATTCAAATCTGAATTTAGATTTAAGTCCCTCTTTTACCAAAAACTTAAATTGTTATGTCTAGGTTCTTTTTTTATTTTTTATTTTATATTCCGAGCTCAATTTCAGTTTAAACAATTTATAGAACCAAAGACTCGAGTATTTGGTAAGATAGAGAAGAAAACCCCAAGAACTAAATCAATAGTTCTTAAAAACACTCTCACAAAGGGTGTTATTGTCAAAAATAAGTTTTATATTAGTGCGAATAGTATGAACCTTAATAACATCAATGTGATTCTTTATCTAGAAGTGATGATGATAGAATTTTCACCGTGCATATGAAATAACTTATCGCATTACTCAAACAACAAATATGAGATAAATAATTTTAAAATGACATAGTACCCCCAAGCAAACATAAGAGAAGATACGACTCATTAGACCACAGTAATAGATAAATTAATATGAAGGTAGCACTTCCAATAGCATAAATTCAAAACAATTACAAACCCTACCAAAAAAAAAATACAAAAGAGAAATGTTTACAATTCAACACCCAAATTAGATACAAATCTCAAATATAGTAACCAACTCTATCCCAAACCCAAATTCCAAAACCCCTCAAAATCACAAAATGATAAGAAAAGACAAAGAATAATTCTTTTTCATCTAATTTTTTAAAAAAAAAAAAATCAACTCCTCATGTGTCTGACCTTGTGCCAACCCTTCTTGCAAGATTCTCCAACAACTTTCACACCCTTTTTGAAAAGGGTCTTCAGCTCTTTTGCTCTTTCTTTAACTTGTTTCTCAAATCCACCCATTTTTTCACTATCAAAGTTTTTTTAAAAGAGAGAATGAAAAAAAAAAATAAGATTTCAAGAATATATGTAACCTTGTATTGATCTCAAAGAAAAATGTGAAAGATAACGTTTATATAAAAGATAAAAGAATTTTAGGCTTAGTGGAATCCAACGCATCAAATAGATATACACGTTGTGCTGTTCCAGAGGGACCTGAATCCTTCTTATTAGTGGCGATGTTCATCTTTATTTGTTCACTATATTAAAAATAGTTATTTAATAATATTCATATAATTTAGAAAATCACGAGATAATTTATCATTTTAGATCTATAAATATATTTTCTAAAGCCTTAAATTTAATATATTTAATAAATAACATAGTAATATTAATTTATTATTTTTTGAGATGTGTATCAAATCAATAATGAACAGCTAGACATAAGGAGTAGTTAATAACTAACCGCTCTAATTATTAAATTGCACGTCTAAATACTTTAATTTATCTCCACAAATACTATTTTTATGATATATTTGTATAAATATCGAATCCAAATAAATATTTAACGACAACAACTTGTCAATGTTGTTACTTGGCATATATATTTAAATTTAAATACGTTTAGCGGAAACTGTGGTCATTGAGCGCTGTGTGGACCTCTTAGGGACCACCTATGAATAAAATTTGAACAAAAAGTCTTTCAGACAAACAAATCTTTTTCATGGCCGCATAAACCAACGACTAGCAAGACATGCTGTTTACACTTGAACCAGATAAACATGAATGTCTGTCAATTTCTATACAGCTTGCACATATTTATGAGAAAATGAGATTTTTGGTTATTTTATAAATTAAATGGAAAAAAATTGAAATATTTTAGGTATAGAAATAAAAATCTTTCAGGTTTAACTTAGCTCTTTTATAAAAAGGTCATAGATATTATTTTTTTGGAAAAAATAAAATTATAAGTAACTTATAGTTGGGTGATGTCAATCAATATCTTGTTTATGGCAAGGCCCATAAAAAGGATAGGTGGTCAGGATCGAAGTCATGATTGAACATGGCGCGTAGCAGATCCAAAATTGTTATTAAGGGGTGTTAATAGTTGTAGTAAAAAATATAATTATGAGGCTACTATGACTAGAACCCACGACTTCAAGAAATTTTCACAACACCTTAACTATTAGACTAAACATTTAACTTGTGTCAAAAAATGTCAATGCTTACATACAATGTAATTTTTCGACGAAGAAGTGTTAATCGATAAAATTGTGAATTTGATTTTGAAGAGTGCATATGAGGTAGGTGTTGGGAGGGAGATTCTTGGGTAATAGCAACATCAGCCTATGCCCTTTGGCAAGGCTCATGAGGGGGCTAGATTGTCTGGATTATCGGATTCATGATCAAACATGACATTTGCATAATGAACTTAATTAAGAAATAAAACCACATCTTCATTGTCAATTATATTGTTTGATGTAATGATAACCGTTTGATCCTAACGCATACAAAATTCTATACATCTTAAAGTTGGTCTTTTTTTTCTTTAAAAAGTAATGTTTCTTGAAGCAACGGGTGGGAAGTGGGCCTTCTGCTTCTAGTATATTCCATTGACAGCTTCAACGCATTAAAAGCGTAGACAAATTTCTTAAAAGGATTTTAAACTTTAAAGAGTAATTGATTCCTTTTGAATCTAATCTCACCTGGCAAATGCTCAATAACAACTATACTTCCCTTTAACATAATCATATTATTTCCATGTTCTCCCACATAATAATAATTAGGTGTGAGTTCATACGCGTATCCAAAATTTAATTTTGAGAGAATGAATGCACTATTATGGAAAAATAACAGTTCAAGAAGAGATATTCATCATCAACAATTCATGATGTATATGTTATTAGTAAGGTTAAAGCATTGTATAATGAATGAATTACAATACAAGACTTTAAGTTTCCACTCCAGCAATAAGAGCACGCAAGGATTAAACCTATGATGAATAATTGTATGAAATTTTCAGCAGAGAAGTGAGCTGCACTAAAAACTACTGAACTAACAATCACTGCTTCCTGCCATTTCATTGTGGAGGAAAGCGCGGTTAAGAAGACACCTCTGTAGACGATTTCTTCTAGCAACGGGGTGATGACACAGTAGACCAGGATGCATGATGTTATCGATATTGGACCACTTGAAAGAATTTCCTTCAAGATTGGATTGTTAACTTCCTGCAAAGTTCATGAAATATTATTCACTTTCTCACACCATATAGCGAGACAGTATGATGAAGATAAACGAGAAAATGCATCTGTAAATGCACATTTACTTTATCTCCCACGATACTTCTGGATTGAACAAGCTTAAAATGCAAATAACTCGATCAATTACATACACATTCAAAATCAACTAACTTGTCTAGTGCTTTAGTTTCGCATACTTATAAGCTAAAACAGTAAAACATATGTTTCAGCTACAAATGCACTAAACGTTTCAACAATCAACTTGATATTGCAACTGAAAAAGGAATTGAAAACAACTTACCTTAGTACCAACCAAAGTGTCAGCGATAATTGATGTTACGAAAACTAAAACAACCAAGAACACAAAGCCAAGAGCTGACGCAAGTAACCAGTTCCTTTCTCTGGTTGGTTGCTTCTCTTGAAAGAAATCACGAAGCTTGTATTGGGGATTCCCGGTACATCTTAAAAGAAGCAGAACCACAATAAGCTCTAACATCTGAAGTACAACTAAGGATAATGCCTGTGGTGGAAAACAAGCAACGGTACCATCAAATTGATTAAAATCACAAGTTAATGGACTATTTTCTAGTTGAGAAAAGTTCAAACGTTTCAAACGATATATTTCCCTTTTGAGTTCCACCAATCTGGTTTAATGGTCTAATTTTTAAGAGTAAGAACTTCTGTGCTCAACAAGGAAATGAAAGATGCCTGATTTTTTACTTTGAGCCAGTCCCAAGAAGCAACAGAGAACACGAGAAATATCTCTTGAACTTAATCACAATTCATCAAACCAGCTCACAGCAATAGAATAATAACAGTTTATAGTGTTACATAGAAATCTTACTCACCTCGGTCTGTGGATCTAGAGCTGAACAATGCAGTATGCTGGTAACGGCAGACAAGCCACCAAAACTTAAAGGAACATGCACACTGAACAGGTAGAAAGCCATGCTGCTCCACAAACTTCCCCTATCACAAGGAGTATCTGATTTAAGGACCGAGAATCCCTATTAAGTTGAAAAATGTTCACTTATATTTCTGAATGAAAATATTGCACAAATTTTGGAATAGAAAACTGAGTACAACCTCGCTTTATCACCAACCATTTCGTGACTATCCATTTCCATGTTGATTAATCAGTGGAACTAGTTTGATCTTATAAATACAAGTAACTATTTTCAAGAAAGTTCGACTGGGTTTTGAACCACGTTACCCCACACATTGGTGCTTCCTTTCTCAACTTATTAATACGCGACAGAATCTATTAATACACTGAATAACTGAAAAGCTCAGAACATCCTATGTCCACATCATGGAGTATTGAGGACCCATCTATCTGCTTAACATATTTCCTGCAGGTTAAGTCTCTCGACCAATTGATATGGATGGTTCCTGGATTATTTTGCTCATGCCTCGATTAACCACCTGGCAGACTCTCCAGCCCACAAGCATAGGGTTTCCAGGGTGATCCCGTCCACCAAAGAGAGAAGATGGATTGATATCAAGTGTTGTAACTAGGATTAACACCTGAGACCTCTTTTCTGCCGTGCCTCAAACACTAGTGACTAGCCCATTCCTTTTGGGATCATATTTAGTTCAAACATGATTTTCTCATGGCTTTTAAGACTTTAGCTACCTGCTTGGGTTTATTGTCCTTTTGGAGTTTTGATCTATTCAAAATCTGTGTGCATCAAATAATTTGCCATGATGAATCAATGATAACTCCATATCATCTGTTATGCAAATTTTCTTTCTGCTTCCAGAGTTCCAATTTCCACGACGGTATTTACTTCAAACTACCTATTGTTTGGACAAAAAATCACAGCAATGTGATCCATTGTCTGCCCTCACTTATTTTATTTGTTCCTGTGTAGCATCAGAGAAAATCCTAAATCTTTGCTTCAATTTATGAAATGAGGGGGCTCAAAGTACACCTGGAACATCCTGGATGCAGTTTCTTCTTAAATTGGGCTGGCCGAGGCACCTCATCTTCTCATATCATTGCTGCTCATTCCCTTTAGGCCGAAATGTTTGGTACAAATTCTCCATAGAAAGTTAGAACCCCCCAAGTAGCCCGCTTTTATGTAGGAATAGAGTCTGGTCCAGCCCTTTACTCAACAATGACTAACAATAACATGTCAAATTGTTCAAGTTTTGGGAAGCTACATTATTAAACTTGTCATTAAAGGTAGAATGGTCTTAAAACAAGTTCCATAGCAGCTATGCAGCTGCAGAGCTCCAAACTAACTAGTAACTACCTTTTTCATCTCCCCGTATGTACTCCCTCCCCCTCCATTTCTGAGGCAGATTTAGCTGTTTTCGGTGGATTCAACTGAACCTATTGCTTTCAGCTTATACCACATAAACACGTGCAAAAAGAACGTATATTTTATTTTTTTTAAAATAACTTTGACTTTGAATCCTGGATTCGCCTCTACTCCACTTGTTTTCACTACTATTTCATCTAAGCTACTAGATTTCAAATTCAACACCCTAACATCAATAAAAAATTCGAGAAATTGCCTTTCGACTTTTTCATTATTTATTGGGCTTTACCTTGTCTTTGATACATGATACATCAAGAATAAAAAATGACCCAAAATATTACACAGAAATCTTAATTTATTAACTACTCCCTACATCTAGTTTTACCTAGCCCTTTGGACCAACATTTTAAAACGTATATTTTCATCATATTGGCATCGATCATCTAATTTTTTTTTTACTTTTAAAATAGGGAAAAAGGTCTGAAACATATTCGAACTTTGACTGAAATTGTTGTAACGATACCAAACTTTGGAAAGGACATTTTACCCTGCATTATTTAATAGTATATTTTAAAGGTATTTATGTGCCACTGGACATCATAAATATTGCATAATTATAAATAGTGACGTGTCCACGTGGGCACATATATACCTTTAAAATATACTATTAAATAGTGCAGGGTAAAAGGTCACCCATAAAGTTTGGTATCGTAACAACAATTTCGATCAAAGTTAGAGTATTTTTCAAACATTTTCCCTTTAAAATATTGAGCTGGATTAATCCAATTTAGCTTTAAAATTAGTCAAATTAACGAAAAATGTGCAGATTATTATAGTGAAAGACAGAAACCCATACTAGATAAATGTTCTCTGCTTATACCAATCTTTCATTTCTATCAATTTTCTTTTGCAATATTTATAATTATATTAACAATGCCAAAATACGGGGGAAAAGGGGAGTGGTGAAAGAGAAAGTACCTGGGGGACCTTGTTTTTTATGCAATTGCATTTGGGATAAGCGGTTGATCGGAAGAACTTGGAAGGGTACGAATGATTGTGAAAATCTTGAGTAAATTTCAGAGATGAAAAACAAATTGCAGGTCCACGGACAAGTAACCCGTTCATATTTCTCTAATTCGACTTCCGGCAACACTTTGAGCTCAGTGTGAGGGTAGAGATTTGCGGTGTCTGGATTAGGCCGAAGAATGGGTGTCCTTCTCGGGTTATTGCATACTTAGATATTTGAACAAAAGTATTCAATAACCCAATAATATATATCTTAAGTGCTAAAAACAAGTAAGGTAAAATTAGAATTGAGCAACGACATATTTACCTGTTCAATTTTATATAAATTTAAATGTATATTTATGTATACTTAAAATGAGAAGGCCTAGATATCATATGAAATCAAGTTTAATTTTATATAAATTTAAATGTCTATTTATGCACACTTAAAATGAGGAGCCATAGATATCATATGAAATCAAGTTAAATTACATGTTTTTATGTATTATGCCAAATGAGAAACATAGGCTTTTCCTTGCCTTGCAACACTTTGAAGAAGCAACAAGGATTGTGGCAGAGTGATAATTATTTTTTCATCCTTAATTAAAGTCTCGGGTTTGAGTCTTCTTAGATACGGAATCACCTTTGTTAAGGAGGAAAAAAACACTTTGAAGGTCCAATAGAAAAGTGTTAACTTGTTATTATCGAGTTAGGCATGATGAGTTGAAATTGCAATAAAACCTTCAATAGAAAAGTGTTAACTTGAGTTAGGCATGATGAGTTGAAATTGCAATAAAACCTTCAATAGAAAAGTGTTAACTTGAGTTAGGCATGATGAGTTGAAATTGCAATAAAACCTTCAATAGAAAAGTGTTAACTTGAGTTAGGCATGATGAGTTGAAATTGCAATAAAACCTTCAATAGAAAAGTGTTAACTTGAGTTAGGCATGATGAGTTGAAATTGCAATAAAAAAAAACATAATGTTGCTGCCCAGGATCGAACTGGGGACCTTTAGTGTGTAAGACTAACGTGATAACCACTACACCACAGCAACTTCTTGTTACATGCAATCATTTTATAAGTTTAGAATGTAAGTTCAAGAAAAAAAGTGCAGAAGAATGATTCTTGATGGAATTTTATGAACCAAAGAGAAACTTCATCATTAACAAACTCTGACTATTCCATTACGTTGTTTTCCTGCTCTTCCTAAAAAAAATATTTTGGATTTTTAATTTGCTAGCGAGACTTAATTGTAAGTTTTATAAAGTGATTCTTAGATTAATTATGTTGTATGAGGCAAAGTGTTAGCAAGTCAAGAACTCGCACGTTTAATTAGAAGATGAAAGTAACGGAAATGAGGATGCTTAGATGTATGTATAGGGAGAAAATGATCAAAATAGTCCTCTATGTATATGGGTTGAATTATCTTGGTCCTTTATATAATTCATCTCATCTAAATAGTCCTTAATGTATACTAAAAAGTATCATTTTGATCCCAGCCTTAAAAACTAACAGAAAAAGTAAAAAAAATGTTAAACTTAACTGTGGGTCCCACACTTGGTGAACCCTTCTTCCTCCATCATCTTTCTCCACCATTTCTTCTCCTTCTTCTTCTTTTTGTGGCCATTTCTTTTACAATTTCCACTGCCAAAAATCTTCTCATACTTACAAAAGTTTCTTTAAACTTTAATTGAACATTTGTAAGATTTTTATTTTCTATCTCTGTGTTCAATTTTTACCCTTTTATTTTAAAAATAGAATGAAAAAACAATGCTTGAAAAACTTACTAATTTTGAAAAAGTAAGTTTTAGGGGTAAGGACTAAAATGATCATGATTTTGTATACATTAAAGACTATTTAGATAAGATGATATATATAGAGGACCAAAATAATTCAACCCTTATACATTAAGGATCATTTTCTCTATGTATAGGCATAACAAGAAAGATAAGATTAGAAACAAAGATATATATATATATCAAGGTGGAGTAGCCTACGACCAATCACCTATGTGGTGGACAAGATGCGGGAAGTGAGATTGAGATAATTTGGGCACGTAAAGAGGAGATGCGAGAGTCCGTTGGTAGTGTTAAGTCTAAGAAGAGGTAGAGGTAGAGATAGATCGAGAAAAAAAATGAGAGATATGATTAGCTAAGATATGGTTTATCTTTAGCTCACCAAGGACATGACTTTATATACTAAAGAATTAGGGTAGAAAGTAAATTAGTAGGTAACCAAATGGTTTCTCCTTTCTTCACGGGAAAACATGTTTTTAGTTTAGAGCACCTTCTATATCCCTCTTCTCCGTATGAATATCATTATTAGAAGAGAGAAGTATCGAAAACACTTTTAAACTTGACGCAAATTATTAGTTTCATCCTTGATCTATTGACAGACTTAAAAACATTCATTTACTTGACATACTCAAGCTAAATACACCCTATCTTGCAACATTAGTGAAATACACCCCTAAATTCTCATCAAGTTTAGGGATGTTTTCAACACTTCTCTCGATTTTTATTAAGAACTTCATGCTCCTGCAAGAGTTTGAGACCACTTGTTATGTCATGTGACATATCATGAGTGTATCGGGGGTATATCTAAGTTTAGTTAGTTAAATAAAGGTGTTTTCAAGGTTATCAATAGTTCGAGGATAATGAAACTAATAATTTACGTCAAATTTAGTGGTGTTTTTGATACTTCTCTCGTTAGTATTTCATTATTATCTTATCTTTCAATTTATTACTATTATTGTTCTTTTACTTTGACTATTGTTTAGTACTATTTTTGGTTGCCAATAATTTTGTTTTCTTTAGCATTTTAATCATAATTTGTACTCTCTTTTTTTCTCAAATATGTGTTGGAAATACCTTTCTTGATCCTAGGATAAGTCGCAAACAATCTTTCTATTTTATAGAGATAGATAAAAGATCAATATACACCCCACGCTCCCCAAAAATTATTTATAAAATGTATTTGAATTTTTTTTATATATTTTAAATACGTTTTATATTGTACAAATTATCTATTAAAAAAATTCTCAAAAAAAGGTTATTTAGAAAAGGGAAAAAGGACAAATATATCCCAAAATTATCGTAAATGGTATGTAGATACCCTTCGTCATACTTTTGGGACATTGGTGCCCCTACCGTCCAAAAACTAGAGCATATATGCCCTTCACTTTAACGGAAGACTAAATAGGGACACGTGACACAATTTTATCCGTCGATCCAATATTTAATAAATGACGGATATGTGAATAAGATTATGACATGTGTATGTCCGTTAATATAAAGGGTATATATGCTATAGTTTTTAGACGGCAAATGCACCAATGTCCCAAAAATATGACGAAGGATATCTGCGTATCATTTACGATAATTTGAGGGTATATTTGTCATTTTTCCCTTTAAAAAACATTACTACAATTAAGATCTCATCACCTTTCCTAATCAATGATCGATACAACTTTGAAATGAAAGGATCCATTTCATACAATTATTCAACCATATATTTTAAATATATCAAAAGACTGACCACACCATTAAAAAATAATTTATAAATTAATTTACTCAATCATACAATTAGCTAATTGAAATTGAATAATATAAGGATTTTCCATTTTTTCTTCTCCGAACGCCAACTGTCCCAGCTTTTTGCGTGAAAGACGGTAATGACGTCAGCTCAATCGGTAATCGGCGACTAATTCAATCACTGAATTCTTTCAAATTTCTCCGACTCCGTCATCGTCTCCGATTCCAACAACCCTATTCCCCTGAAGAACAAAACAATTAGCATCAATTAAGGGTTAGGGTTTTCAGGAATTATATTCAGTTGAATTGTTAATTTCCGATCGTTTTTTCGTTGAAAAAGGGGGAAAGCAAATATGACGAGGATGGCGAGGAGTTGTATGCAGTCATTGTTGAAAGTGGTGAATTCGGTTATTGGAATGGTAGGAATCGCGATGATTTTGTATGCTCTTTGGATGTTTAGGGTTTGGCATAAGCAGATGGGTCCGTATCCTCCTCCTTTCTTTGGACCTGATGCCCCTGCACCATGGTAAAATGTTGTTTCACTTTCTTACAGTATGTGCGTGAGCTTTATGAAAGTTAGTCACTTTACGTGATAGTGGGGCAATCTTTGTTGCTCTTTTTTGCTTTAACAAAAGCTAGGACTTTTTAAAAAAAAATTGGGTATTGGAGTTCTTTTTGCTGCCTTACTTTGCTCTAGCTTTTGATTTGTGTGTTTTCTGCTTATTGGATGCCGTGGGATACAAAGGAGTGGGGATGTTAATTTGCTTTTGCTTTATTGAAGTTCATTTCCGGGAGTCATGTTCAATTAACTATACCCCAGCTATGTGAATCCTCTGTATCCCATTACTCATAGGATCCATTACAGGAAGACTTTACTGAGTGGACTTTGGGTCACACACCTCGCGCAACGGCACAAGCTCCACTATTATACTAAGAGCTTGCATCGTCCCACTAGTATAGGTACTGATAATAGGCCACGCCATTGGTTATACTTGGACTATATTTACAATGATCTAGGACCAACTGTGATTTGAATCATTTTATTACCTTAAAATGAATAGATATGAGGATATTGGTATCATGCATCATGAATGGAATGCTTGATGGAAGCACTTATGATAAGAAATTGACTGCCTATGGAAGTAGATGTAGAAACCACCCAGACCTTTTCTTTTTCTTTGTTCTCTTTTTAGTTTTGTTCAGTAAAAAATCGATGGTGTTTCTTTATTTGATAGTAGAATTTCACACACTCATACAAATGTGTTGAGAATGATAATTGTCAAGATTTGGATATTCCCATGTTTCATAAGCTGTCAGATGTTTGCTCTATTTTTTTGAAATTTGGATATTCGTATTGTAAATTTAGTGACACAACTTTTGTCTAATGTAGGTTCATTTACGCAACACTTGGTCTTGGAATAACTTTGTCCATAGTCACTTGCTCGGGTCACATTGCTGCAGAGACTGCTAATGGCTGTTGCTTATATATTGTATCCTTTCATTATTTTACTTTTAATTGATTTATGTTGAATGGTCTTCGTCTTTTAAGCTGCCTTTAGTTTGTTGTTTTCTTCGTAGAGGGGTTGCGGGTGTCAGGGTGGAGATGAGTCTGTTTTGAGAAAGTTGCCTGGACAAGCTTCATCCTACTCTGTAGTAATCAGCTAGTAGTTCAGCAGACTAATGGA